TAGTAGTAGTAGTAGTAGTAGTAGTGGTATTGTTGTTATTATTATTGTTGTTGTTTTTATTGCTATTATTATTCTTAGTATTACTATATTGTTTTTACTATTACTATTCGTGAGTTCCAACTTGGGCCCTAAAGGAACAGAGTGCCCCAATAGAAGGACGGAGATACTCCATAAACATAGTGTCTATCTTCAGACACTCAGTGGAGAGCTCTTCTAGTCTCTGTGGACGGACAATGATAGTCGATAAACAGATGGCGTCTTCAGAATCTCTGTGCAGTACTATACTAGTACAGTTGGAAAGACAAAGATATTCGATATACCTATAGTGTCTTCAGAAACACAGTGGGATGCTCTGCTAGTTCATTTGGACAGACGGAAATACTCGATAAACTTGGCGTCCTCAGAAACTCTGTGCAGTGCCTTACCAATTCAGTTGAAAAGACGGTGATACTCGATAAAGTTTGTGTCTTTTGAACCTCCGTGGAATGCCTTAATAGTTCAGTTGAGCCACAGAAAAACTCGGTAAACTTAGTGTCTCCAGAAACTCTGTGGATTGCTGTTGTAGTTTTGTTGAAAAAGAGAAATACTCGACAAAGAATTAATAAAAATAGATAGCATTTGTATAGCGCAAATCCCCGCTAAACAGCAAGCTCTATGCGCTTCACAATCTATACTTTTACCACAGCAGACCTGAGAGATTCTGAAACAACCGCAACTTCCTTGAAAGCATACAGTGCAAGCAGCCATATAGGCGCTAAAACACTAACATACTGACAAGAGATATAGTGCCTTCAGAAACTGTTGCTTGCTCTACTAGTTCAGTTGAGATTATGCTAACTGTATCGCTGGTGAACCTGAACCAGTGGGTGACAGGGAAAGATCAGGGAAACGTAGATTTTTTAAAAGCATCCGAGCAAAGGAATGAATGGAGAACCGTGATCGCCGAGCGATGTCTGTCGCAGATCTGGCACTGGATGATGATGATTGCTGGTGACCTTGATTTGAATCCTGTTCGAAGTTGTTCCTTGCAAACTTAGGCTGCTTGAGAAGTTTTTAAAACCCTTTCGTTCTCTTTATTCTGTCCTATCGGAAACCGGCCCTGGATTTGAAATTCTGCAACTTGAATAACACCGGCGAATATAACAATAATAATAATAATAATAATAATAATAATAATAATAATAATAATAATAATAATAATAATAATAATAATAATCATTATACTACTACTAATAATGTTGATCATTTCTATAGCGCCCACTCCCTTTTGAACACAGCTCTAAACACTTGATATAAATGCTTGTACGAACAATAAAATATGTTGAAAGAGGCTTTACCATGGGTTTTGCGGAAGCACCTTCTGCCATTTTGTCCTCTTCTGTGGCAAGTATCATTCGAGTGTACAGAGAAAACAAGATTAAACTTCTCCGAATAGAAACTATGACGTCAATTGGACTTGTAACGCCAATGGAAATGCGACACTTCTCTTGAATCAAGAGAGAAAAAATCTTGAAATAAAGATCACATTCTTCATACGTCACAATCACTAGTAGTGATGACATCGACAGCAATGTTTCAGACAGAAAGCTATTTTGGGGTTTTGGGTTTTGGGTTTTGAATCCCGCCCGTTCATATCAAATGTCATTTTTGGGATACATAGTTCCAACACAACTGTGTTTTTTATTTTAAAATCTTTTTTTTAAAGTGAAATGTTAGTAGATCTGGAAACACACAGGAGAAATGTAGTTTGCCCGTCACGTCTTTTTTATTAGTTATTTTATGCGCTCGTCTCCGAAGCGGAAAGTCCGGGTTCGAGCCTCGGTTTGGACACGAATTTTTTTCGCCCCTTCCTGCCCACCCAGCAGTTATGGGTACATAACTTTGAGTTGGGGAAGTAAAGGCGGCGTGGAAAGGAACTGGCCACCCTACCACAATATGCCGAAGGCCCAGGAAGTTGTCTCACTAAAAAGACAATCCCCAATGTCCGGATCGGGTGCGGGAACAACTTTACTTTTTTGTATCTTATCCCACAAAGTTGAAGGGTGCTTTACTTTTCTAAAGGTCATCAGTAAATTGTTCGTCCAAATAATAATATGTATAACGACGAAACGAACAAGAAGGGGTAACAATATTGTCTGGTAATTTTAATTGTTTAAATCACGTTAATGGCTGCTTGCACTGCATTCTTCCCAGGAAGTTGAGTTTGTTTTCAGAAGGCTCTCAGGTCTGCTGGGGATTGTGAAGCGCATAGAGCTTGCTGTTGAGCGGGGATTTGCGTTATACAAATTATGCTATTTATCTATTATTATTATTATTATTTTTATTACATTGC